GACACGGCAGCACGTGGGAGGTGAGCGCCATCTCCGTGGGCGAGGCAGGCCCTGATTGGACGAGCTTGGCGGGACTGTACGGGCGGCTGGCTGTTCGGGAAGCCAACTTGCTCATCAAAGATATTCATAATGGTGAGTTGCAAATTTTTTGGGTTGATTATATTTTTTGTTGTTGTTGTTATGTAGGGTTTGTTTGTTTGTTTTAGTCATCGGGGATGTTCAATGTGGTGAGTATATATTTCGCAAGCACATATATACACACACGGACACACACACACACACACACACACACACACACACACACACACACACACACACACACACACACACACACACACACACACACACACACACACACACACATACACGCACACGCATACACACACACACACACACACACATATATGTGTGTGTGTGTGTGTGTGTGTGTGTGTGTGTGTGTGTTTGTGTACTATATATATATATATATATATATATATATATATATATATATATATATATATATATATATATATTCTATCTCTCTTTGTTATTTAGCAATCTAGAAAGAGAGAGAGAGAGAGAGAGAGAGAGAGAGAGAGAGGAGAGAGAGAGAGAGAGAGAGAGAGAGAAGAGAGAGAGAGAGAGAGAGAGAGAGAGAGAGAGAGAGAGAGAGAGAGAGAGAGAGAGAAGAGAGAGACAGGGGGGGAGGAAGAGAGAGCAAGAGAGAGAGAGAGAGAGAGAGAGAGAGAGGGGGGGGAGTGCAAGAGACATAGAGACAGACAAAGAGAGAGACGGACAGACACATAGACAGACTGACGGACTGACTGACTTACTGACAGAAAGCCAGACTGACTGACTGCCTAACAAACAGAAATACAGACAAACACACAGACCAGACAGACATCCCTGCCTGACAAAAAAAAAAACAGAAACAGAGAGAGAAAGCGAAATAACAATAGAGAGACAATACATTAATATACAGATCTCTTTTTTTATGAGTATGAATGCGCGTCCGAAAATTTTGTGCACAGTACCAAGCTGCAGTTCAGAACAATAACAGTGAAAAAGTGAACCAACCTTTGTTTGCATCGAAATGTACTGTTTTGACAAAGTGTACCCTTGTAGCTTATACACTTTTGTATCTATTTTCTTTTTTTTATTCATGCCTTTTTTCGTTTTTCTTCGTCGCTTTGATCAAATGTAATGGAGTATGCGGCGCTGATTGGTATAATTATTCACTGAGCTTTAGTTGATAGATCTATATTGCTTAGAATTAAAATGCGATTTTTTTTTTATTGTTTATTGATAATTATTTTTCGTTTTTTTTTTATATTCGCCTTATTTAGCTGAAAATGAGAAAATGTTGATAATGTTAATGATAATAATGAAAATTATCATTATCAGAATGACAAGCTTATTAATGATGGTGAAATTAGTGACAAGATTAATAATGATTAGTTTATTATTGACAATAATAACAGTGACTATAAACATATCATGATGATGATAATAATAATAATAGGGAAAATTATGATAATGATAGTGAGGATAATATGATATTCATAGTGGTAATAATGGTTTTAATAAAATTCGTAATGATGATGATAATAATGATGATAGTAATAATGATGATAATGAGAATGTTAATAATAATAATAGTAATAATAATAATAGCAATGATAATAATAGTAATGATAATGATGATAAAATAATTATTATAATAATAATAATGATAATGATAATAACAATAGTATTAATAGAATGATGGTAATAATAGTAATAATATTGATAGTACTGATGATAATTGTAATAATAATGCATAATGATTCTAACAATGATAATAATAATAATGATAAGGAAAATAGTACTACTACTACTACTAATAATAATAATAATAATAATAATAATAATAATAATAATGATAATAATAATAATAATAATAATAACAATAATAATAATAATAATAATAATAATAATAATAATAATAATAATAATAATAATAATAATAATAACAATAATAATAATAAAGATAATGATAATAATGATAATCAGGATGTGAGCATAAAAGGGACACGAAAATAAAATAGCAGGTAAAACTTCTAAGGAACTTGATAAGGAAATATGGAAAATATGAAAACAAAGAAAAATACAAAAATAAATAAATTTATGATGTAAACTATGAAGAAAAGGAAACCGAGAACGAAGAGAATAACGACAAGGAACAGAAAATAAAAATAAAAAGGACATGACTAAAGACAAACAGAGAAAGTTAACGTAAACAAACAAATGTACACATAAAAGAGAAACAAAGAGAGAAAGCCACAACGAGAATAGAGAGAGAACAGAAAAAAAAATAATAAAAAAAAAAATCATCAAAGACAAAAACGGAGAAACATACAAACAAACTGAACAAACGATAGAAACATCAAAAAGATGGAAAAGCGAGACAAGGAAATAAATAACAAGAAACAACGTAAACCATAAAGCAAGTGGATAGAAAAAAAACAACACAGAAACGACACAGAAGAAACGCAGACGTAAAGAAAACGATCACCTGCCACGAAAAAAAAAGAAAAAAATGTCCATAAATTTTATCCTTGAAGTGTACAGATGAGGGCGTTACATGACGCTACAATGTATGTTATATAATCTCTTTCGCACAGGCTACTGGGTTCATTGTAAAGCCTTGTAAAGCGTGATGGATAATAAAGAGAGAGAAAGGGAGGTGGTGAAGGAGAGGGAGAGGGAGAGGGGGAGAAGGAATAAGGGGAGAGAGAGGGACAGGGAAAGGGAAAGGGAAAGGGAAAGGAAAGAGAGAGGGAAAGAAAGAGTAAGAGGAGGAAGGAGAGGGAGAATGAGAGGGATAGGATGAAGGGAGAGGGGGAGAAGGAATAAGGGGAGAGAGAGGGAAAGGGAAAGGGAAAGGAAAGGGGAGAGGGAGAGATGGAGTAAGAGGAGGGAGAAGGGTGAAGGAGAGGGAGAGGGAAAGAAGGAGTGAGGGGAGAGAGAGGGAAAGGGAAAGAATGAAGGGAGAGGGGGAAAAAGAGTAAGAGGAGTGAGAGGGAGAGAGGTAGTGAAGGAGAGGAGAGGGAAAGGATGAAAGGAGACGGAGGGAGGAAGAGAAAGAGAGGTGGTGAAGAAGAGGGAGAGAGAAAGGATGAAAGGAAGACGAAAAGAAGAAGAAGAAGAAGAAGAAGAAGAAAGACCCCGAGGAAGAGAGAGACAGGAAAACCAAGAAAGAAAATGAGACATGAACAAACACCAACAAAAAACGGAGAACAGGATCACCTCTCACAACAACGAAAGAAAAAAAGAAAAAAAAGAAAAAAAGGACATTAGCAACAGCAGTAGCCTAGCAGCCCAGATATCAACGTCACGTGATCTGCAATGTTTACATCAACAAGTTTCTGCCTGTCTCTTATCCTCCGCTCTTTCTCTCTTGCTTCCTCTGCCTGTCTGTCTGTTTGTTTCTTGTTTGTCTGCCGGTTTGTCTGTCTGTTTGGTTATTTGGCTGTCTGTCTCTCTCATTCTCTCTCCCTCATTCTCTCTCTCTCTCTCTCTCTCTCTCTCTCTCTCTCTCTCTCTCTCTCTCTCTCTCTCTCTCTCTCTCTCTTCTCTCCTCTCTCCTCTCTCTCTCTCTCTTTCTCTCTCTCCCTCCCTCCCTCTCTCTCTTCTTCTGCTCTCTCTCCTCGGTCTCTCGTCTCTCTTCTCTCTCTCCTTCTCTCCTCAGTCCTATCTCTCTCTCCTCTCATCTCCTCTCTCCAGTCCCTCTCCTCTCTCGTCCCTCGCACTCTTCCTTCTCTCTCTCATTCTCTCTCTCACTCCTCTCGTTCTCTCTCTCTCTCTCTCCTCTCTCTCTCTCCTCTCTCGTCTCTCGTCTCTCTCTCTCGTTCTCTCTCTCCTCTTCCGGTCGCCCTCGACTCTCTCTCTCTCCTCACCCTCTCGCTCTCTTCGCCTTCTCCTCTCGTGTCGCTCAAACGTATCTCTCATCCTCTCTCTCCACTTCTCTCTCTCATTCTCTCTCTCTCTCTCTCTCTCTCTCTCTCCATCTCTCTCCTCTCTCTCTCCATCTCCACTCTCTCTCTCTCTCTCCTCTCTCTCTCCTCTCCTCTCTCTCTCTTCTCTCTCTCCTCCCTCCCCTCTCTCCTCTTCTTCTGCTCTCTCTCCTCGGTCTCTCGTCTCTCTTCTCTCTCTCCTTCTCTCCTCAGTCCTATCTCTCTCTCCTCTCATCTCCTCTCTCCAGTCCCTCTCCTCTCTCGTCCCTCGCACTCTTCCTTCTCTCTCTCATTCTCTCTCTCACTCCTCTCGTTCTCTCTCTCTCTCTCTCCTCTCTCTCTCTCCTCTCTCGTCTCTCGTCTCTCTCTCTCGTTCTCTCTCTCCTCTTCCGGTCGCCCTCGACTCTCTCTCTCTCCTCACCCTCTCGCTCTCTTCGCCTTCTCCTCTCGTGTCGCTCAAACGTATCTCTCATCCTCTCTCTCCACTTCTCTTTCTCCTTCTCTCTCTCTCCATCTCTCTCTCGTCCTCCTCTCGCCTCTCTCCTCCTCTCGTCTCTCCTACTCGTCTCCCTCCTCTCGTCCCTCTCCCTCCTCCCCGCTGCTCTCTCTCCTCTCTCCTCCAGTCTCTCTCTCTCTCTCCTCTCACTTCTCTCTCTCTCTCTCCCCTCTCATCTCTCTCACCGTCCACTCTCTCTCTCCTCTCTTCTCCTCTCTCCTCCTCTCTCCTCTCTCTCTCCTCTCCATCTCCCCCCTCCCTCCCTCTCTCTCTCTCTCCTCTCCCCTGCTCTTCTCTCCTCTCATCTCTCTTTCTCTCACTTCACCCTCATCTCTCTTCTCTTCTCTCTCTTCCCTCTTCTCTCTCTCTCCTCTCTCTCCCAACTCTCTCACTCTCTCTCATCTCTCGAGTCGCTCCATCTCTTCTATCTCCTCTCCTCTCTCACCTCTCTCTCTCTCCTCCTACTCCTCCCCGATCCTCTCTCTCCTCCATCTCTCTCTCTCTCTCTCTCTCTCCTCTCTCTCTCTCTCAATCTCTCTCTCTCTCTCCTCTCCCGCTCTTCTCTCTCTCTCTCTCATCTCTCCTTCTCTCTCTCTCTCTCTCTCTCTCTCCTCTCTCTCTCTCAATCCTCTCCATCTTTCTCCCCTCTCACTCTCTCC